CTTTCGTCAACGGCAACTCCAGCATTGTCGGTTACGTGGAGGTGGAGATGGAAGTCCTGGAGTCGACCTCCAACATCACACTCCACATGGCCGACATCCTCACTAAGAACGACTCTGTCAAGGTACTCTACTTGATGGCTGAGAGAATACGAGAGTAGGATTCTTTCTTTTATACGGAATCGGTTGTGTGTGAGCAGGTCGGAATTATTATGACAGTACGACAATGTATAATATTACGAATTTTTGTTTTTAAAAATGCAGTTTAATCACAGTCTTAGGAACGTTATTCCCAATTAGGAATTAAATTCACTTTCCAAACTGTATTACTGTTCACAGAATTTGTCTTTTATCTACAGGGAGCTTCCATTCTGTTATAGGGCAGTCCTATAATGAGACTGCGCTGTTCGTATAATATTTACTAATGTTATGCTGTACTACGAAGAAATCATGTTTTACAAGCTCAATCCTTAGAGCTTGTACAGAAATGATCTGTTACAGAGGCATTTATTACTCAATTGTTATGCTGCAAGACTGATCCTTTAACATACGATCACAAAGCGTATAATCTGCCAATTACCAGCAATTTTACCGGTGCTGTTGAAGATTCACTAGCCCCTTCAGTAACATGGACATAATTCGAAAACCGGACATTGTGAAACCCTTAGTGATACACATCGTTCGACGTCCAAAGTGAAATTCCATTTTAAAACCAAGAAAAAACATTGTAACATTGCTGTCCATGTACAAAGTCCTTGTATTAGAAGAGAACACATTATGTTCTTAAAACTGCTACATCGATACATTTGGAAATATATTAGAAAAGAAAAAAATAGATAAAAAGCCGTATAAAGTATGTGTAAGAATAATCATGTCGGGCCTCTATTTGTTATTTCTATTTTCCTGTTATTGTCAATATTGATCTCAGTCATTCATCACCGATATCGTATCAACTGCCGCAGTCAAAACAATCTTACGGCTTATTTAAAAAAACAAAAACAAAAAATCTTGTCTAATCTAGGTATCAAGCCGTGATGATCCTGGAGCCGCAGCTTTGAGGATCAAGATGCAAGAGTATGACTTCAGGCGTCAGTTCTATATCGCCCACCTGGAGGAGGAGTTGCAGAAGGGGAAGAAGTACGTCTTGGCCATGGAGTTTATCGGTTACCTAAACGACCAGATGCGAGGCTTCTACAAGACCACCTACACTGATGCTGACGGTATGCGGAAGTGAGTAGTGACTACAATGACCATTCTAGTAATATCTATCTACCTATCTATCTATCTATCTATCTATCTATCTATCTATCTATCTATCTATCTATCTATCTATCTATCTATCTATCTATCTATCTATATATCATTGATTGATAGTTTCTCTCTCTCTCTCTCTCTCTCTCTCTCTCTCTCTCTCTCTCTCTCTCTCTCTCTCTCTCTCTCTCTCTCTCTCTTTTGTACGAAATTACGTTTCAAGGTTGTTTCCTTTAGTCTTTACCGTCCTACTTCGCCCTCTCTTCCTCCACAAGGAATCTGGCGACGACGAGCTTCAAGCCCTCCTACGCGCGCTACGCCTTCCCATGCTTCGATGAGCCGGCGCTGAGAGCCACCTTTGAGGTCTTCCTTGCGAGGGAAACCTGGATGACGTCGGTGGCCAACATCCCTCACAACAATACTCTACCAGTGTAAGTATGACTCACTGATATAGATTTTTTTCCATTGTAAAGCCGGTATTCTTTTTTTTTTTTTTTCTTTTTCTTTTTTGTTTCTTTTTTTTATGTTCTTTGACGCTGTAAGTATGATACACAGATATTCAAAGTTGTATATGTACTAAGTTTCAGATTTTGTACAGACCCTCTTTGTCAGTATAAGTAGCGAACCGAGAAATAATAATATTTCAATTCACCTTGTATAGAAACTTAAATCATATGGTGGTTCTTTACGTATTTTGACACTATAATTACAATGAAAACAATTTGGATAGTGTTCTCACCGTCTTTATTTTCTAAGATAACTAGAATATAAACAGGAAAAAAAAAATGTAACAGGAAAGACACCAAGCTCAATGAAACGATTTGAATTTTCACATCATCAGTATTGGTTTTATTTTTTATTTTTTATTATTTTTTATTATCAGTATATTCAGTTTGTTCTTTGACCCCCTTAATATACCAGGGAAGGTCAAGAGGGTTGGAAGTGGGACCACTACCAGGTGACCTTCCCCATCTCCACCTTCCAAGTCGGTTTCCTGGTGTCGAGCTTTGCCGTCCTGAACTCCACCGAGAACGACCACGTGGTACTGCGAGGTAATCACGAGCTTTCTTCTTTTACACGTGGTATAAGGGTGTTTTTTAGAGTATACGTATAGATAAATAAATGTATATATCTATATCTATCTGTGTATCTGAAGAAATATATACAGTATACATACAGACTCACATAAGTGTGTGTGTGTGTGTGTATATATAATATATATATATATATATATATATATTATATATATATATATATATATATATATATATAATATTATATATATATATTATATATATATATATATATATATATATATATATATATATATACATATATATATATATATATATATATATATATATATATATATTATATATATATATATATATATATATATATATGTATATATGTATGTATTATATATATATATATATATATAAATATATATATATATATATATATATATATATATATATGTATATATGTATATATATGTATATATATATATATATATATATATATATATATATATATATATAATATATATATATATATATATATATGCTATATATGTATATATATATATATATAAATATATATGTATATATATATATACATATATATATATAATATATATATATATATATATATATATATATATATATATATATATATATATATATATATATATATATATATATATATATATATATATATATATACATATATATATATATATATATATATATATAATATATATATATATATATATATATATATAGTATATATACATAGTATATATGTATGTATATATATATCATATATACTATATATATATATATATATATATATATATATATAATATATATATATATATATATATATAATATATATATATATATATATATATATATATATATATATATATATATATATATATATATGAATGCACACACAGTGTGGGCGCGGCGAGCGGTCCTCCAGCAAGCGGATTACGCGAGGCAGGTCGGGCCCCAAATCCTGACGCATCTGGAGGATTTCCTGAACAAAACCTTCCCTCTCCCGAAGCAAGACTTGATCGCTGTTCCAGAACTCATTCCTCGAGTGACGGAGGGCAGGGGAATCACCCATATTAGGTAGGCGATAGTTGGAGTGTCAAAGAATAGGTTGTATTATGTTTCATGTTGGTGTTTTGATCAATCATCTTTCAGATAGTTGGAGTGTCAAAGAATATGTAGTATTGTGTTTTATGGTGTTTTGATCAGTCATCTTTCATTTCACATAAGTATATATTATCTTAATATATTATTGCTTTTTTTTTTTGGAAGGAAAGAGAGTTTGATCATGCTAAAGTTTACAGAATATTATATAAGCAAACGAAATGCCATCTTTTTCGTTTGACCAATTCTTTGTTTTTGATCAATCATATTTCATTTCACTCCAATACATATTGTTTATCTTAAAATAGATTTTTTTTTTTTTTTTTTTAAGAAGGAAAGAGAGTTAAGTCATGTTAAAGTTCACGAAATATTATGTAAGCAAACGAAATGGCATTTTTTTCGCTTGGTTCCTCTCCTCTAGATGACTGCGGTCTTAATGATTACAGGAAGATTTTTACGCAGATCAATAAGACACAGCTAGTGTTTAGAATTACGAACGGTGAAAACCCACGATATGCATGAATGTGTTGACGGTCTACCGGTTTCTTAGAATTGTACAAGCCGCGATCCAATGAATATTCGTTATACGGACAGGCATATGCACAGAACTAAATGCATATCTATCAGTGTAGACATTGTAAACCGGGCAGATAGATAGATAAATGTATATCTATCAGATAGACAGATATGCATAATTTTAACAAACTGGAGGAGTGGAACTACATGATGTGTCGTTTTGAGTCACTCCAATTTTTACGACTTTATATTGAGACATTTTGTACAAAGGTCGCAGCGGAAATCTAATATTAATGCCATACACCGATCCTTGTCTCTTGTGTGCATACATACGCTGGGGCCGACCCTGAGCTTTAATTGTTTTGAATTTCGTTATCTGTGCAGGGCGCTCTTCCCAAAACTTGGATAATTAATAACTGAACTCGCAAGAATCACATTATTTCCCAAAATATTCAGCGACGTTTCGAGTGTACGGGGAACAACATATGTTTGATCCGTGATAGATAAATGTCAATCTATTTAAACTCTCGATCGGTATAACGAGCAGACGTAGATATAAAAGAGGAGAAGAAATAGAGAAAGAGATAGATAGTGAAACAGAGAGAAATAGTATTTAAGAGGGTTTTATCCATATGCAAGAATGAGATCTTGAAATGACTTAATTGAAAGGACTTTGACTGTTAACATGCTGATATTTTTTTAAGAAATTGTACGCGTCTAAACAGCAATTACAGTGGGTAGTCTCTTGGAACATAATATTATGAAACAATATGAGAAGGGGATTATTCCATGTCTATACCCAGCATGTTTTGTCGTCACATACTTCTCCTCGTTGCGAATATACAAGATAAGTCTAAATTGGATGATAATCCAGGGGGAAAGAAGATGAATTAGTAACCTCAACATTTAATTGTTTTTGTAGCACTAAGTAGATGTTAAGCAATAAGGGTTTCAATGCACTTAGTACGTCTTTGATTATGATATACTGTATTCACAGACCACCATTTGAGTAACCAATACTGATCTATAACGTGTCCTGCTGGTTCTTTATATTAATCTTCCTTATAAATATTG